CAGTTTTCTCTCTCTAAAATGGGCAGGGAAGAGTGTAACCAGACAAGTTTTAAAGTCACTTCTAAGGCCAAGGATCCATGACTCTGATTTTTAAAAAATTTAATTCCAAAAAATAAATGTGGCCCAGCCGGTGTAGCTCAGTGGTTGAGCATCGACGTATGAACCAGGAGGTCACAGTTCAATTCCTGATCAGGGCACGCGGCTGGGTTTCGGGCTCGATCCCCAGTGGGGGGCATGCAGGAGGCAGCCAATCAATGATACTCTCTCATCATTGATGTTTCTATCTCTCTTTTCCTCTCCCTTCCTCTCTGAAATCAATACAAATATATTTAAAAATAAATAAATGTGGCCAAGTATGTAATCACTAGTTTGTCTCCCCCCCACCCCGCCTGCCACCCTCCCTTCAGCAGGCTATGGTTTTCCTAACACTCTAAACTTGTGATCTTCCAAGAGATCTTACCCGAAAAGATCCACGAGAGTGTTGGGAATCTGGCTTAGAAACTTCTCTCCTTCCACCTCTGCCTGCCCCCACCCACCATGCCCTCCAGCTCACCCTCACCTGAGCACTTCTCAAGGCTTGGATGTTCAGATCTCAGGCATTTGAATGTAATGTTTACTGTTCTGAGTCCTGCCCCATCCACTTCAGGGCACCATGGAGGACATTCTGACTCACCATGTACTCTTCCCATGAATATTTGAACATTTGTCCTGAGTGCCAGACTCCACCATGGGCATCTGGGCTACCAAGGATAATAACACGGCCCAGTTCTCAGGAAGTCAGTCCTCAATTAGGGGTCATGTCAATTTACCTGATGGCGGTTAGCCTGAGTCACCTGGGAGAGAACACCAAAGGGGGGCCTGCTTCGGCAAAAATCTTTTTTTATATATATACATCTATTTTTTAATTGAATTTTAGAGAGAGAGAGGAAGGGAGAGGGAGAGAAAGAAACATCAATGTGAGGAACATCCATAAGCTGCTTCTGAAACCCAGGCATGTGCCCTAACTGGGAATCAAACCAGCAACCTTTCAGTGCACAGGTCAACGTCCAACCAACTGAGCCACACCTGCCAGGGCTTGGGCAAAATCTTGAAGGATGCTAAACAGATGCTCTTGGTGCCCGTCCCCTTAGAGCAGCGGTTCTCAACCTGTGGGTCACGACCCCTTTGGCGGTCGAACGACCCTTTCACAGGGGTTGCCTAAGACCATCCTGCATATCAGATATTTACATTACGATTCATAACAGTAGCAACATTACAGTTATGAAGTAGCAACGAAAATAATTTTATGGTTGGGTCACAACATGAGGAACTGTATTTAAAGGGAGGTTGAGAACCACTGTTTTACTCCTTTGTCTTCCTCCCTGCTCCTGATCACCTGAGCCAGATTAATCATGGAGCAATCCAAATGGATTGTAGAGCAGGCTGAAGTGATTGATTTGGTCCATGTGCCCATCACGTAGTGAGCATACAGGCAAACAAGTAATGAAAAACTCCTTCTTCGAGTTCTCAGTACTCTGCCTATTAGTGTTTACTATCATTCAACCCTGAGAATACAGAAGTAAAATATTAATGCATGCACTTAACACTAATGTCCATAATAATAATGAACGTCTTTGTAGCCGACTTAGTGCCTGGAGAATAGAATGTTATAAGCATAATTTCTTAGTTTTTGTTTTATGGTAATTGGCAGCAGTTGAATTAAATCGTAACTATCCAGCTTGGAGACAGCATCGAAAAGCATCAGCCCTCAACAAGAGTTATCCTAAGGGTAAATATATGCTAGACCTCCATGATGAAAAACCCACTAAATAAATAAAACAACCCTGTTTTTCTCACCCTTCCCCACATACACACACACACAGTTCAGGAAAGAGACAACTAATCGTGTTAAGGAAATATTCAACCATGCCTAACAATGACAGATCTCAGAGCTCTTGTCTTCCACACAGCTAGAAATCACTATGCTGTGTGGGAATAAACAGCTGCATTGCACACACAAATGAAGAGCCTATCTGAGGAAACAGCTCAGAAAAAAATAGCAAAGGGGGGAGAATAGGGAACACTGGCAATCTTTATCTCCAAAGAACAAAGTGAGCTTCTTAAAGATGGCAATAAGGAAAAAATGTTTCCGTCATCAGCCTGAAATAGAGAAAGCACACAGTGTTTGTCCAGGCCAGTTCCTGCAAAGCCCCAGCCGCCCTACTCAACACCCTCTAGGAGTCAGCAGGACCGTGTGTTGCTCCTCAGTTGTCACTGAGGAGTGCCGGTAGCAGTGTGGTCTTCAGACCGGCAGCATCACCAGGGAAGTTGTTCAAATTGCAAATTCTCAGTCCCTACCCTAGACTTACGGAATCAGAAAGTCTAATCAGCAGTTTGTTTCGACAAGTCCTCCAAGTGATTGCAGGCATACGTGCTCAAACGGGAAAGGCACTGCTCTGGGAATGGTGGCGCCACCCTGCCGGATGCTTGGAGGATGAATGGAGAGGAGGGGACTGAGGGGTTCAGTGGAATGCACATCCCAGGGGATCTCCTGTCTCGGCCTTCTCCACCCAAAGCCTTAAAACTATCCTTGCAGCCTCAGTGCCAGCGGGGGCCTTGCTGCTCAGATGTTTGGAAACACGAAATAGACTGACGAATCTCAGAGGGAGAGGGTTCGGGGGAGGGAAGAGATTAACCAAAGAATTTATATGCATGTATGTCATTCTTCTCAGCTACACCCCAGTCCACTCAGTCCCCACCAGCTACACTTACTTTTCTGGGGAAAATATGGGACAGACTTAGGTGTGTGTCTCTGGGAAGGGAGCCCCCTGCCCCCCACCTTCCCCAAAGCCTGACCAGTGCTCCTCTTCATGGGAGATCCAGACCAGTCCAGGCCCTTGCCACCATTGGTGAGATAGGCAGCCAGCAGCAGAGACAAGAGGTTGGCTCAGAGGGCCTGGGGCACTGGGCAAGCGCAGAGCAATGACCCAGGGCCTCTCCAGACCCCTTCCCCTACTGGTGACAGAGGAGCACCCAACATTCCTCCCTGGGTTCCTTTTTCATAGCCCTCTGTGGGGGGCCACTCACTTCCTCCTCAGGGTCTCTGTTCAAACAGCTGGGTGTGGCTCCCTCTCACCTGGGCAGCCCTGCCTGAACCCCCACCCCTGCTGGCCTCAGGTGGCCCAGCGCCAGCTGAGAGAAGCTGATGTTTTAATTGACTGCTGGGTGCTCTCTGTGCCCAGTGAACCAGCAAAGGCAGAGGTCAGGGCCTCACCTGAGCCCATCCACTGGCCCACACACTGGTCCCCTCACCTTCCCACCTTTCCCTTGACTTCTCCCTCCCACTTGGCCTCCTGTGTCATCCATGGCACAGAGTTTCTACCGCTGGGGCCTGGGCTCCCTGTGTGGTGACTGTGCTGCCCCAGACGGGGTGTGTACAGAACAGGCCTGGGCCCAATGAAGGAATGCTTCTTTCTTTCCTTTTTTTATTTTTTAATCTATTTTATTGATTTTTTACAGAGAGGAAGGGAGAGGGATAGAGAGTTAGAAACATCGATGAGAGAGAAACATCGACCAGCTGCCTCCTGCACACCCCCCACTGCGGATGTGCCCGCAACCAAGGTACATGCCCTTGACTGGAATCGAACCCGGGACCCTTCAGTCCACAGGCCGACGCTCTATCCACTGAGCCAAACCGGTCAGGGCTGCTTCTTTCTTATAAAAATCTTTATTATTGAAAGTATTACAGATGTCCCCCTCTCCTTCCCCCCCTCCTCTCCCCATCCAGTTCCCGCCCCAGGCCTTCACCACCCTACTGACTGTGTTCATAGATAAAATATTTGATTAATCTCTTCCCATCCCCCAGCCTCCTTCCCTCTGAGATTCACCAGTCTGTTCCATGCGTCCATGCCTCTGATTCTATTTTATTCACCAGTATATTTTGTTCTTTAGATTTCTTGTTCACTTATTTTGATTTTTGGGTTCAATTCTTCATAGATATGTATTTGTTGCCATTTTATTGTTCATAGTTTTTCTCTCCCCCCCCCCCCCTTCCCCCCTGAAATCAAAAAAAATTTTTTTTTTTTTTTACAAGTATTTGCACGTGGCCCGCGGGCCGTAGTTTGAGGACCCCTGGTTTTAAGGCTTTGGGTGGAGAAGGCCAAGACAGGAGATCCCCTGGGATGTGCAATTACCCATTAACCCCATCTGCAGTTCCGAGGTGCCCTGCCTTTCCTCAGGGCTGCTCAGATAAAAGCTGACAGGAAAAGATCCCTGCAGCTCTGGTCTGAGAGTCTGTGTACACAACTCAGGGATGATTAACCCTGGGCCTGGGGGCGGGGATGTGCAGATCAAAGGCCCTCAGACAAAATGACCAGTTTCGGAACTCAGGGGGAGCAAGGCATTGTCTGCTCTAAACAAAACTCATGCCATGTCACCAGGGCTTCAGGGAGACCTGGGGCTCTTGGTGACGAGGCTCAGAGACCCCCGCCATGAGGCAGAAATGTTCTTTCTGCATTTCTATCCTCTGTATCTTTCCCACCTCTTAGGAGAAACAAACCTCCCTGCTGTCACTGAACTGGGTCCCATAGAAACCAAATGAACTCTTCTTGGAGACGCCTGGATCCGGTTTGAGCCTGCCCCGGCTCCCAGACTCCTCGGAAGGCCCCTCTCTGGCCACTTTCCCCTGTGAATCTCGGCAGGCCTTGCTATGGACTAGAGTACCTTCCTCCTTTGGGCCACGGGGCTTCCTCTTCATAGCAGCTCACCATTCATCCTCCAAGCATCCCAGGAAGTGGAAACCACCTATCAGGAGGATCAGATTCCTGGGAGGTGACAGGGTCACCTCTGCCTCACTGACCATCAGCCCTCAGCCCTCAACTTGGCAGGGAGAGCTGACTTCCTCTGTTTCTCAGGCCTGGGAAGGCAGTGTAAGGTGAGATGAAGATGGGGGAGGGCTAGGAGGAGGAACCAGGCCAGGAAAGGGGCAGGTCCGGTCCCAGAGTGGGAGGAGGAGACAGGCACTTAGGGTGTTGGCCAAAGACCACAAAGTGAGGGAGGAGAGGCGTGCAGGGACCGAGCTATCTCAGGCCCTCTCAGTGACTGGGGCAGGTGGGGGTAGGGGCAGGGGCAGCTGGGAAATAGGCCTCCCTCTGGAATTCAGAGTTGAGCTGCTGTGTAAGTCACTGGCTCCTGGGTTCTATAAGACAACAGTGAAGACTACAAAAGGGCAAGTGCCACACTCCCAAAGGACAGCTTCTGGTGAGTAGGACACCCTGCTGGAGGCAGGGATTACTGGCCTCAGTTTCCAGCTCTTTCTCACTGCTTGGACTCCAACATAGCAAGAGGGAGGTCTGGAGGGTTGCCTAGAGACCTAGTGGTCAGCAGAGTAGCTGGGGCAGGAACACGCAGCTACAGAAATGGGGGAATATCAAGGAGTGACGTCAAGGCCAAGGCTTGATTGGAAGTAGCTTTGCTTGATGTACCCCCTACCTGATCTCCCAGTTGCCCTGTGCAATCCTGGGTACCCCAGAAACTCCACAGCTGGTGACTTTCCGTCATCCCCCCGGGCACGGCTGACCTCAGGAGCCTTGGCTTTTGTGGGGACCAAGGAGGGACCAGGAAAGGCTTGATTCAGGTTCCAAGTATCGCAGCTGTCTGGGGGCCCCTTGCTTCCCTGACGGCAACCCTGAGGGCCCTCCCAAGAAAGAGACCCTAAAACTTATTTTAAAATGTGACCTGCAAACCAGGTCACATGCAAACCAGGACTCACTTCTAAGGCTGGGCAGTTCTAAGGGGAAAATGGGGGCAGCTGAGTTTTGTTGGGACTGACAAAATCTTCCTCAAGTCCCATGCTCATCATTAATAGGCATGTTTGTAGCAGCGTCTGTGCACCTGGGGTGTTTACAGCAATAAAGGGCAAGTTCCCTTCCCTCCGGAAGCTCATGGGATGGGGTTATGGGGTTCCTGGGGGGTTCAGGCCCAGATGGGGCGGATGAGGAAGGCCTTCTGCAGGAGGTCCCTGTGGGTGAGCATCCACAGAATGAGAGGGGATTAGAGGGAAGAGCATGGCTGGGAGAAGGAAGAGCAGGAGGTGCCACGGTGCACCTGGGGGAGATGACAGGGCCAAAGTCACCGCACACCTGGTAATGCTGGGGACCGCCCAGGACTTGTGCTCCTCCTGCAAGCCCGGGGCACATTTACCCTTCTTTCGGGGTGTTTCTTCTGGATTTAACGCGCTGTCACTTTATTCTCTCCCCAGCCACGCACCATGTGGTTGACCCTGCTGCTGCTGCTGCCCACAGCGCTGCGCCTGAGCCTGGCAGAGCCTCCCCAGGAGAGGGTCCCTCTTTTCCGACTCATTCAGCTGGGCCCCTGGGGAAGCGGGGCCAACGACACCACGGGCTCGCCCTGCCAGGGGCTCTTCGCCACTGGGGCCACGACCTTGAATCTGGCGAACCGCAGCCTGGAGCACCTGCCGGGT